TATGGATACATTACCTGCGTTTGCGGATTTTGCCACTGACAGTTCCCTCTCAAATCGAGCTGCCTTACTTTCGCTTTCGACAAGTTTCTCTTTGCCTGAACTGAGCTCTTCGGCTAGATGCCTGATCCTTGAAAGTTCGGTTTCGAACGCGGACTGCATTGCCTCGGCACGATCCTACAAGCAGCATGCTGTAACGAATAAAATTTTGCGTTCTAAAATTAAAAGAAAAACTACATTTTTCGTAAATTACTCTATTTTTAGAAGTGCCTTTGAAGCACCATATTTCCCACCTGCTATAACGTAGAAGCTCTATGCCACATAATTAATTATCAAGTAATATTAATCCAAATTAAATTCAAACAACACGTCAGAGACTGTGGAAAATTTCCGTGCAGCAGTCGACATGCCCAGAAACTGCATAAGAACAGCTGCAGGCCGATTGTGTTATGCGATGCGTTGCAGTTATCGCAATTTCGTTCAGATATCCAGGAACCAATCGAATATTCTAGTTAACAATTTAAGCGCCCTTCAAGGATCGGATCTGTTCTACATGCTATTTTCTATCTAGACAATTATCAGGACACGACAGTGCGAGCGGCAAAAGCAAGCATAGTAGATCTGTCTGTTATTTTTCTTTGGCAGAAAAAACACAGAGGTGTTCATTGATGAACAAGTTAAATTTGAACACCAGGAAGAGCTTAGAGGGCATTTTCATACCCCATAACAAGCGATCTAACGAGTTTCAGGATGTGATACTGACGCCTTCTGCAGCCGGGTGATTCATCGGAGAGAACTAAGAAAATGAAGCTTTTGGAATGCACCTCAATGTCTGCATAACTTGTTCGGACCAAATTCAGCATACTGGCCCAGAAGGTACGAAAGGCATCTTTGTACGTCAGAAGATAACGCTAATCAGATGAGACCATTGAGCTTCGCTAGAAGATCTGCCACTGATCTACCACTGACGTGCAGTCTGGTGATGCTACAGCACCAGTTGACTAACGATTTAATATTGCTACTTGAGACATTCTACTATATAAGCGGATCACGATGGCAATTGCGAAAAACGTTAGAAACGCCAATGTAATCCTAGTTGAGGTTCTCGATGATTCGACCCATCACTAACATGACGTTTTAGCCAGCTGCAGATCAAACGTGAAGAAGAGATGTGAAGACTTCAACTCTGTGTAGCCAGAAGTGAAACTTACAAGAGCTAGGCTAACTGAGCCCTCATGGATGAGGAATCGTTCAAAACCGTGGTTCAGCAAAATTTATTGTTAATGTGCATGTTGTAAATGTCTTCTAATATGTTCACGTCATATCATTTTGATTCGTTTTTCTCATTCAATCAGCTCACTAATAAATCTGTCACTAATAAATCTGTACTCACTAATAGCAACTTACCACAGCTAGGAGTACTTAGCAGAAACAAGCTATGAAAATGATGTATGGATAAGTCTACCGCCGACGATCAACAAATCAGGTTTTAATCCACAGGCTGTTCATTAATTTGGGATGCAAGATCGTTTATGTTCATTTTATAGATTTGATCATGTCATCGCAAAACATTTCACTAACAAACCTGCAAGTAAAACAGTTACTCTGCTGTAAAATTTAATTTCTACATAGTTGGCGATTTACAGGATAGATTTATTTAAAATACACTTGATATCACTGTCAACATTGATGCAGAGCCAATTAGAGTATTACCTGATGAAGAAATCAAATACAGGTAGTCACCAACTTACGATGGGGTTACGTTCCGAAAATTCTAAGACAAAATAGGGCAAAAAAGAAGACAATGTAATGTATGTCATAGTTATACTGTAATGTATAGTGTTGTAAAATAAAGTACTGCATAGTTTTCAGTTAAATTTAACAAATCCCATGCCCTGTAATTTGTAACACAGTAAACATTACAGAGTGGATCGTCGTACCATTTCTCAACATCGTCATACAATTTACGGGTCCTTGACTGTATCGATAGAATTCTAAGCGACATGAGCTTTTGGATCTCGTACATCATTCAAGATACCCGAAGCTTCTTCATTTTTTCCAATGGCCCTGACCACTTCTTCGATATTACGGTGGAATGCACAGATGCAACACCACTGACAGCTTCCATGACCCACTTTTTGTACCGTTAACTGGGGTAACTGAAAATCACGTGTTATGGTCATGACTGGTTTTTCTCCTTCCCGCTGATTTATGAGTTTCATTTTATCTACATGGTAACAGCCTTCCTCTTTTTCTTCTCACCATCAGCTGGGTAAACATTAGCATGTCTGTGGGGGGGGGCATTCTTAAAGAAAAAAGCAATTTTTAAGCATAAAATAACTCAAAGGGTAAATATTTCTTGAATCGAAACCTCATTAAGGGTTAGTTCGCTGGAGAGTGAGGCAGACCACTCGTTCACAGCTGCCGGCAGCAGCCTCCCAAGCATATCCAAGCATCGTATAGCATACACTTAAGCTCAGCTGTTTTCTTCTTGTGAAAACGGAAATATTTTTCGAATAATGTTGTATTGTAATCAGTATCGTAAGATCGAAAAATCATAGGTCAAACGATCGTAACTCAGGGACTATCTGTACAAACCAATAAATTGATACCAAAAAAATATCTGCCCCGTAT